TTATTCTGACCTTACTGTAATCTCTGCCCATTAGTGCCTTAAAACAACTTATTCATAAAAGAGAGGGGAAAAAATCTTATACCTGTTCTAAACACTTAAAAACTGAGCCACTTATAAACAGATCTCTTGTATAGAATCTAATCTGGACATATTATACTATAGAATAAAAAGCAGAGAATTCTGCTTAGTAACAATGAGCCTGATTTTTGCTTTCCTAAGGTGACTTGTTTTAAGAGGAACAGAAGGTTCTTATTGATCCATAGGTCAGCCTGAACCCAGCCTTCTGGAAATTTCTGGCTCATAGTCGTTTCCATTTTAACCAGACATTTACCTTGGAAGCTAGAGTATTTGCTGATCATTACTGATATTTTCACTTTCAAATAAATTCTTTGGCCATTGTGACCTGCATCACAGGGCTATGTAACCTTGGCAAGTAGTGTTGCCAGAATGTAAAAATAATTTTGAAAAATATATTGTGAACTAATATATTTTAATTTTTAGTCTTATGAATACTTATTTATCCTTCCCAGACCTTTATATGACTTGTCAGTATTTGCTTCTGGGTGTTCTTCAGAATGGTTGCCAAGATTTCAACAAAATGTGGGGGGAAAAATAAATATATTAAATAATATTTATTTTTATTTTTTTCATTTATCATATATTAAAGGACAATTTGGGGGGAAATAGTCAAAGTTTCTGGATCTCAGGTTTTATTTGATTTAAATCCTATCACAGACCCATAATTTCAAAACTTTCATGATTTTTACCCATTGTCCTGTAGGAGATAACTAGGCTGAGCCTGATGGAGGGGTCAAACGCATCATCATTCATGAGTCCCTTTGCACCTGCAAAAAATTTAACACCACTCCACCTTGAATTCCTACTATTCTTATCTCACACTAATTTCCCTTGGCCGCTAGTAGTTCAGATTCATGTCAAGTGTCAGGAAAATCAGGAGATCCAGACAGTTCAAACGGGTGTAAAGGTTTATTGTAAGTTTGAGCTTTTACAAGAATCTGAACTACTAGCAGACAAGGGAAATTAGTGGGAGATAAGAGTAGGAGGAATTCAAGGTGGGCTGGACTTACATCTCTTGTGAGCATGAAGGGACTCAAGACCCCTTCCTCAGGCTCAGCACAGTCATTTCCTACATGCCCCCTTTCTTTCTTTTCTTTTGGATCCTTTAGTTATCTGACTGACTTCTTCAGCCATCTCTCCCCTCCTTTCAGCCTCTCTCAGTGACATGCGGCATTGAAAAGGAAGAGGAAGGGCCCAGTATAACAACTCTTTTTTTTCAATATAAAATTTTATTGTTTTTATCATAAAAGAAAAAAGAAATACATCACAGATATTACACAGTGTTTTATCCCATCCCCCCACCCCCCGGACTTCCCAAACCAAACCTAGGCTAATATTCAAATACAAGTAAACAAATATTAATATCTCTAACTCCAAACTCTAAACTTAAACAATCCATCTCCTCCGTGTTAATAAAAATTATTCATTTAATTAGTTCTTCAAATACCCAAAATCTTTACCATTTCAGCAAGATAGTTTA